ATATACCTTCTGTAGTCATTATCTGACTGACAAGACTAACTGACTTCCGTATGGTCAAAATACTTTGCTTTGTTCAAATCGCAGTACTGTTGGACACTTCTGTATTCGTATAAGCTAACTGAGGTTTCTGAGAAAGCTTACAGTCCATTACACCCAATAATTTGATTTTGGCTTAATTTATTATTACAGTGACTTGATCATCATTTTTTGATTCCCAAAAACCATCAACTTGAAAATGAGTTGATGAAGTATGTATACAGTACTGTAATAAAACACTGACTGGATCTTTTAAAGAGAATACGTGTATTTTCACTTACTCCAAGATGAGCAGGCACAGAGAGAGGCGAGTAGCAGACTGCTCAGTAGAAGCTTCATCCTCTCACACCAATTCACCACTGCATACTGATACTCGTTTCTTTAGAGCTAAGTCCCTCACATCTAACACATACGTAATACAGCACATACCAGACATCATCCACATTTTGAACTCTTTGATTCAAAGAGTTTTGAAGACGAATGTATAAAACCACAATATCTGTTCCTTCCTCTTTGAATGGGTTGAGGGGCAGTTTTATTTATCAGATAGAACTTTTATCTGATAAATAGACACAGTTTAGCTGTGTCCTGCCATCTGTGAAGACATATTTTCTCCTTGTCTGAGCTGCAATGGCTAACATCATTTCCTTTTATTTGTAATGCTGCCCTGAAATCTGTCACTTTTGTTACTTCCCATGCAGGTTGGGTAAAAAGAAGAACTGACAGAAGCCAAATAATGTAATGTAATGCAGAAATCAGTCTTTCTATTGAAAAAGTAAGTATAAAAAGGCAGACTCTTAATAGCAGTTACATCAGCAGTAAAATAATTGTTTTCTGTCTTGTACTTGGTGTTTAGGTTATACATTTAGCATCAGTTGTGACTCTAAATTCAGCCCTCATTTAAAAAACTAACCACCTTAATATCTATTAATTGTTTTCACTCTATTATCATAAAAAACAAACCCATGCGTGGGTCATACCAGCAATTACCAGCAAGAATTTTAGTTAAGCTTCCAAAGATATTGTATATTAATACAATATGTAATTTCTATTAGTATAGTTGTTGTTGTTGTTGTGCACCTTTGTCTCTGTCTCTGTCCTTCTCTATTTTCCCTTTCTCTCTCTCCCTCTCTCTCCTTTCTCCCTCTTTCTCCTTTCTCCCCTTCTCTTTCTCTTTCTCTCTCGCTCTTTCTTTCCCCTTCTCCCTCTCTCTCTCCCTCTCTCTCTCTTTCTCCCTCTCCCTTTCCCTCTCTCTCTAACCCCAACTGGTTGAGGCAGATGGCCACCCACCTAGAGCCGGGTCTGTCCACGGTTTCTGCCTATTTTTTCCTTGCTGCCATCGCCAAGTGCTTGCTCATGGTGGGAACTGTTGGGTCTCTGTAAATAATAATAGAGAGATAACTTTTGTTATGAACTGGCACTATACAAATAAAATTGAATTGAATTGATTGATTGATTGTAAATTAGGATGTTACAAAGATATGCAAGGAAAAATCACAGTTTTTATCGATGAAGTCTGGATGCAAGTAAAAGTAATATAATGGTTCAAAGCGCTACTCTACATCACCCCATTCACACATAGACTCGTTCGAGGTGATCACCACACAATGCATGCTGGTTAGATTTGATGTCAGTTGCTCTGACATCGTGGATTAAAGAACAGCAGACTTGGTGGGCGTGGTCCAGCCCACCACGGAGGGTGCTGTGGCCCCAAAAGTAGAGAAGGAGAAATCAGGTAAATCGGAGACTTAAAGACATCTTTACAGAGATCTGCTCAATCAACATCCTCAACAGGCGTCATCTTGTTCCTGCTGTTTACATTTCCCCTGGGTGTATACTACATGTATGTATATAAATACCTGTCCCCCAACCTCCCTTAAACTACATGCAACATATAGGCAACAGATAAGCCCAGTACTTTTACAGAAACACCACTCCTAGGAACCATCAGAAGATCAATTTGTTTCCAATCTTAGCGTCTTAATGTCCTTTTCTTTCCAGGCGTCTTTTATCCATAATAAATCCCGCCCTGCCTTCCATGAACTGAACATGCTTTGCATAGAAAGGAGAAATGAGTGGAAACAGGAACAGATCCTGCCTGACATTCCTCCCTCTGCTGTGTCTGAGCTTGTATACAAGCAGATCAGTGCCGCTCTGCTATAACTATTCTAACCATGCTGATGGGACAAGGCTAGACCAAAGGGGTGTGTTATTGAATCATCAAGGGGCTGGACCTGCCCAGCTGTAGGTGGAGTCTTACTGATGTGTGTGCGTATTTAGGGAGGCGATTAGGGAGGAGTTTGAGGAGAGGTGGAGAGTCCAGTGGAAAAAAAGGGGGAGTGGGGGCAGGAGAGAAAAAACCCTGCTGGCCGTAGCTTGACTGGAGTGTTTCTCTGCCTGGTGTGGCATTCACATCCTAATGCTCATGTGGTAACATCCAGCATCGCTTGGCTCCCCCTGCTCACTGGCCTGATTCCAGGGATTTGAAGGAGACAGACTGAGAAAGGCAAAGGCAGTGTGCATGTATGCTGGAAAGAGATAAGTGAAGTAGGAGGGAATAAGAACAGAGGCGAGAAGAGAAAAGAAGAAAGGGAGAAGCAGGTGAGAAAGCAAACG